AAGCTGGGCGTACGCTGTACGACGTGTGGCCCATTTTGAGCCGATGTTCCTCTAGTGGGAAAATTTTTGAGGGGTGGGAAATGTGTGCATACAGGGGATAACGAGAAGCGATTAACACTTCATAACAAGCTTAAGATCAGCAATCGTGCCGTCGGACAAATACCAAACATATTTGATATCTTTGTGATGGTATTGCACTGTTGAAGCGTCGTAGCGACGTAAATGCACCAGAATTGCTAACATAGAGCATGGTGGTGCAGTGGTTAGCACTGTTGCCTCGCAGCACAAAGGTTGCAGGTTCGAAACTCGACCGCAGCCTTTCTGCGTGGAGTTGCGTGTTCTCCCCATGCGTGCGTGGGTTTCCTCCGGGTACTCCGGTTTGCCCCACAGATCACAACATGCCCTATAGGTTATAAATTGTACGTCGCTTTGGATAAAAGTGTCTGCTAAATGAATAAACATAAACTTGCTTCAACATGGCTGCCCACATGCCGGCTCTTTTTATTTTTACATTTTTTTTTCACACGCAATGACAAGTATTTTCAAGAAAGCGTGTTTGTCGTGTTTATGTTAAATAAAATGGATCACAAAGCATTGTTTACTTCCTTTCATTTGCCTTCCCTCTCCAACCCCCACACACCCCTGCGTGTCCTCCTACAGCAAGCCTGAAAGACAACAGGCTATCTCAATACCAACGCAGCAGTCTCCGAGTCTTCTTGGTTTTTGGACTTGAATGTCCGTTGTGTTGTGTAAAACTATTTAGCTTATATTTTGGTCCGACGTGTTGCTACCACAGATAGTGTCAGCAGTCATGTTGCATCTGAACGCTTGGTCACACAGAGCATGACTAGTGAGTTTTGCTCTGTGAGGAAGTTGTACAGTTTGAGATGGAGCTGAATGCTACGAGTGAAAAAGTAGCTGTGTATGCCTGGCTTTACTGTGTATGACTCGTCTTCTCTCGTCATCTAGAATCCTCTGGTGCTGATGCGTGACTAGCAACAGCCATGAAACCCACAGAACAGCAGTGAGAAAGTCACTTGCTTTGTTTTTAAAGTGGGCTGCAGTAACCACATTTGACCACAGGGGGTCATACTTACTTTATTTTTATATAATGCACCTTTTACTGTTGCACAAATCTGGAATAAATTTAAAAAAAAACTCTTGGAAAGTTGGAAGTACAGAAGAGCAAAAGGTGAAACATTCCTTGAGATTGTTGTGAATGTTCCCGTGAAAGCCGCTGAGTTAGAAATTTCTGGCTATTTTTAATATCTGACCCACTAAAAGGTGTTAAACCCATTAAATAAAACATCTAGTAATTTTCTAAAGTTCTGAGTTTGTATAAATCATTTGTATTTAATTAACTTATAGGTTTTTAGATTTAACTGTAAAACTGACCAAAAACATCCCACATGTGTTCTCCAAACTGTAGAAACTTAAGCGAAACAACTAATTTTATCGGTTTTTTGTAAGAAAATTCCTGATATTTGAGGTACTTTTTCTTTTTCCCCCAGGCTATTTGGGATTGTTGAAGGACAGTGTGTGATGATGGAATTTTTTCCTAAACGCAACAAAATGAAACTTTATTATTTAAAACAATTTTAAATTATTGAGTTTCCATGGCCAATGACCACAGGTCCAAGTTGACTAGAATAAAATTATCGTACAAGAAGCTGACGTCGTTATGTGGGTATCTGTTTTACGAGGTTATCAGTTTGGTGCACAAACCCCTTGTTGGTTAGTTATTAGATAAGCTGTACAACACCAACTTTACCATATTTCTTTATCAATATAACCAGTTTCTCTTTTCACATTCTGCTAATTTGGGAAAAGGCATTCTTTTTTTTATTGATAGGTGAAATTGTCTTTTTACTGTAAAAGTACTAAAACCCTCCATCTTTGTCTTACTCATTAAATAGTTTTTGTGTTTTTATGTAAATGTTTGTTCTCTCTATTGCCTTTATTCTTATCTCATGTAAGCAAACCGTTCTTTGCTCTTTCTGCCTTCATGTAGGTGCAGGGAGCAGTGTTCATCACAAATGCAACAGCGCCAAACATCGCATCATCTCCCCTAAAGTTGATCCCCGCTCCGGAGGCTACAGCAGCGCACACTCAGAGGTACAAAACAACGATGTGTCCGAAGGAAAGACGGAGCACAGCGCCCATGGTGGAGGTAAAAGCTCTGGTGGAGGTGGTGGGGGCAGCGCCAGGGAAAAACGCAACGGCAAAGTCCACAAGCCTGTCCTGTTGCACCAGAACAGCACAGAAGTGTCATCTACCAACCAGGTGGAGGTTCCTGACACCACGCAGAACTCCCCTGTCTCCATCAGCAGTGGTCTCAACAGCGATCCAGATATGGCGGACAGTCCCGTGGTGACCGGGATGAGCCATGTGCCCTCTGTCATGTCCAGCCTGTCTCAGAGCGTCTTCATGTCTGAGGTCACTGGAGACCCTGTCTACAGCATGTCTCCCACTGGGGGACCCAACACTCACCTGATGGGAGCAGACGCCGCCTCACAGGGTTTGGTGCTGTCTGTGGCCACTGAGCGTCACAAGTTTGCCTTCCCTGGAGGGGGGGTGGTTGAACCTGGGACCACCACAGCAGGAGATAGTCTGTCCATGTTGTCTACAGCTGGGGTGTCTGAGGAACTGGTGCTAACCAGCAGTCTGGACGCAGGGGCCATCAAGATCCCAGAGACTAATATGAACTTTGATCCCGACTGCTTCCTAAACAACCCCAAACAGGGCCAGACCTACGGTGGCAGTGCACTCAAAACGGAGAATAACATCTCTTCAGCATCTTCATCTTCTGGTGGTAGCAGCAGCACTAACGGCACGCTGCAGCGCTCACCCAACATGTCAGACAATGGCTACACCTTCAGCTCGGCTCTTGTGAAGAACATCAAGACAGAAGACACCTCTTTTGAGCAGCAGCTGGCCAAAGAGAGTGGCTACCAGGTAGGGGGTGTGGTAAACTGTGGCGGTGGAGTGTCCTCTGGTGCTGGCTCAAATCAAGGTGGCCTTGGTTTGTCCACTGGAGGCTCTCTGCTACCCTCGGGTGGGGGTTTGAGCCCCAGCACTACGTTGGAGCAGATGGATTTCAGTGCCATTGATGCAAAGCAAGAATATAGTTCTGGCGCTCCCGCAGTGAGTTACAGTCAGGCCATGTCTAGTCCGCATATACAACACCAGAATCATTCTCCCAGCTTCTTCCTCCAGGACACTTCTCAAACCAGCCAGACCCAGCAGGGGAGGTCAAGCATGGGTCCAAAAACACACATGATGGAGCACAACTCCCATGACTCCGGATCTTACATGGGACTGCAGGTAGTGAAAACGGACTCCCCAGGCAGCAACGGACACCTTCATCACCACCATCAGACCCAGCACAGGGCCAACTGTAATGGAGGCTCCCCCACGGAGGGGCCTGGTCAGGCTGGCGCTCTCCAGCTGCTGCAGTACCAGGGGCCATTTCCTGGACTGGGCACTGAACATGAAGAGGTGGTTGGTCTAGAGCAAGCAGGTAGCGTGAACCCAGCTCCAACTGGTGCAACGGAGAACAGAGCTGAAAATATTCTCAAGCCGGGGGACCACATTCAGGGGTGTGGGCCAGGAAATGGAGATGGAGGGGGGGCAGACCACTATCTGCAACAGGCCTCTGATGGTGGTGGTGGAGGGGCAGGAGGTGCAGGTGAAGGAGTAACAATTCATAATGGAAACAACAGCAGTGATGGCAGCAACCGCTCCCAGCAGCTGCAGCCCCTCCTCCAAGGCACCAGTATGGTACAAGGACTGTACAATGCTGTGGGACCCCATCAAGGTCTGGGTGGAGCAGCTAGCAATGGAGGAGGTGGAGGAACAGGCATGGAGATCAGTCTAGACCACTTTGACATTTCTTTTGGTAACCAGTTTTCTGACCTCATTAATGACTTCATCTCAGTGGACAGCAGTGGAACCGCCATGACAGCTGGGGGTGCTCTGTATGCTCACCAGCTAGTCACATCACACAGCTCGGAAAGCCAGAACACAGCCAGTGGGCTCCCCCAGCAGGGCCCGGAGGATGGAGGAGCCCGTGGCTCTGGCTACAGCCCGTCAGAGCTCTGCCTTCAGCCCTGCTGCAGCCCCCAGTCTCTGAGTGGGACTGCGGCTGCAGGAGGCACCGCGGGAGAAGCCGGCTCATTGTCCTACATGAATGTTGCTGAGGTGGTCTCTGCTGCTGTTGCCCAAGGGGCTTTGGGGATGCTGCAGGCCACAGGTCGCCTCTTCATGGTCACTGACTACTCCCCAGAGTGGTCCTATCCTGAGGTGAGCGATGTGACTGTTTAAAGTCTTTTGTTTGATTTGTTTTTTTACTCTTGTCCTTTTGACTCACATGCTGCGACACCAAACAATGGCTGTTGTGGTCGTCTCAGGGTTTTATCATTTGTCCCAGATGTCCCAATGTACACAGGATATGCAGAGTGTGTGTGCATGCTTCCAGCAGAAACATTTCTTGCATTGTGCACAGATCGTTCTAGTCTTAGGATCATCCCTGGTAGGAACCTGGCACCTGCTGCTTTTTCTACCTGTATTTTTTGGGGGGTGTTGGTCTGTCTGTCTTTGAAGATGCATGCAGAGTTGTACCAAAGCTCATTGACGATAAATCTTTTCAAAGAAGACATTAGATAGCTTACAGATTGCGGAGTTCACACAAATTCCTGGCCATCACTGCACGAGCGTGTCAGTTGTAAAGTGGTAGGTGTGGGTTAGGTGGTAGGTGTGGATGTGAACAAGCTACATTGTGAGAACTATCTAAAGTACCCATGGGAATGTATTCCCCACACCTCTTTTAAGTTTCTACTTCAAAGGAGCACCTCTGCACCTGCGAGAGTAAGGATCTTAGGTTACACACACACATGCTTTACATAGTAAAACATCTTGGGGTCAAATTGACCCCAGAAGAACAGTAATGTATGCAAAATGATAAATGACCCACATTTGTGTAGCGCCTTTCAGAGTAAGGACTCCAAAGTGCTTTACACTACATGCATTCACGCACACATTCACACACCGATGATGACGAGCTACGGTGTAGCCACAGCGGCCCTGGGACACGCCGACCGAGGCGAGGCTGCCGAGCACATGCGCCACAAAAAATGTGTACAGCTCACCTAAAAAATAATAATGTTCAGTTGTCACTGTTAAATTAGGAAAGTGCATGAGTGATTAGGCCAGAATATAAAAGTTTAATGTATTTCTAATGATGAACATTGAAAGGGGTCAAATTGAGCCACAGGTGACACTAATCTAATATTCTAATCACATGAACATTAGTTATTGGTTATTAGTTTAGTTTATTTCAAACAAAGAAAACATACATAATTTTTTTTAAATACCACTAACAGAAAAAATACATATCATCCCTTCTTCTGTGTTTGAAAAGGAGTAGGCTGAAGTGGAAACTTATTTATCCCTACCCCTTTATACAAGTAATTTTTACTTGTTTACTAAATCTAACACAAAACCTACATTAAAACAAACAAAATGGTACAAGTCACCAAAAACCACCAAATTATATGGAAAAAACAAAAAAGAAAAAAAAAACATCTTTTTACAATTGACACAATTTACTTTTCCTTGGAATAAAGGACACCCACATAAATCATCTATTTTCCACTATATACTTGTTCAGAATATGTTTTTTATTATTCATTTTAAACACATTTATATTTTTACTTACTTTGATTTCTTCTTCTAAATTGTTCCATAATTTAACCCCTATTATTGTGATACACATCTGTTTTAATGTTGTTCTAAACTTATCTAAACATCATAAACTACAAATTAGTTTTGTGGCCTTAAAGGTATCTTTAAAGTGGACATTGGAAATTTTATAAGTATCTTTTCTCCACATTTTTATAAAATGCATTTGTCAAAGTTTAGAAGAATCTGCAGTAATGCATCCATTCAGCCACTAGGAGGCAGTACAAGACCTGGAGTGCTGTTGAAGCGTTTGAATAAAATGAATCAACTGAAGTAACAGCAGATTTCCACATGGTGGCAGCAGAGATCCATAAGGGAGCTGTAACTTCCAAAGGGTGTCTGATTATTTAATTCTGATAGAGTACGTTTGGTAAGTATGGTGGTGTGATAGTTATAAAGAATGCTTGGTTATGTTCTTCAGGGTGGCGTTAAGGTGCTGATCACTGGCCCCTGGCAGGAGGCCAGCTCAAACTACAGCTGCTTGTTTGACCAGATCTCGGTCCCAGCATCTCTTATCCAGCCGGGGGTGCTGCGTTGTTACTGCCCAGGTAAGACAGGAGGTACCTTTTTTTATTGTCTTTACTTTGTCACTTTTCATTGGCTAAATTACCTGCGGAGCATCATATTAAGGTGTTTTGTTCTTTAACCTAAGTCATAAAACCTGTTTGAGGCTAATCTGCCTTATGATGTTCTGGAACCTCACTGTCTGCTCTCTGTCCAGCTCATGATACAGGTCTGGTGACTCTACAGGTGGCCATCAGTAATCAGATTATATCCAGTTCTGTGGTGTTTGAGTACAAGGCCCGCGCTCTGACCTCACTGCCATCCTCTCAGCATGACTGGCTCTCTCTTGACGGTAGGATCCCCCGCACTGTTCCTTTCTCGTCAAATACATCTTTAATGATTTGCCCTTATTGTTTTTCCACAAGTTTGTTGTATTTGTTTATTATCACAGATCCCCATGACTGGGGTGAAACGCCAGGTGTAGGGTCTGTTGATGATCATCAGACTTCAAATTAACTGTAAAATGATTGTCACTGGCTTGTTCATGCATAACTTTTACATAAAGATAGGATCAGATCAAAAAAACAAGTTAGCGTGTTTGATCTTGTTCTCATTAGTTATTCTAATGTACTGTATTAAACCAGCAATAGTTGGGCTCCCAAGCATCTGACTTTTATTTTAGGTTTAACCTAAGTCATAAAACATAATGGGTGTGATCAAATGGAGCCCTTTTTGCTTTTATTTCGAGGCACCAGTGTGCCATGTACCAAACAAATGTACCAGAAGCTATTAAGCAGTGTCTGGACTCTAGTCTGACATAAAACAGCCGACATGGATGCTTAAACATAAATAATCAAAATGGAGGGAAAAGAAAAACATATTAAATCCAACCTGTCCAAGGGTTAACACACACACACACACACACACACACACACACACACACACACACACACACACACACACACAGAACATCTTAATACAAAAAAGAACAATTAATCAATCGAAATAATAAAAAACAACCATTGTTGGTGCTAAACATGCATACAGAATATTATTTATACACAACACAGCCATTGGCAGCAATGATTAACCAGTAAAAACAACACACCATGATACTTTTAACCTCATCATCTTTGTTTTGTGACCCAACTGATTTATTCATACAGGGATCTGAAGTGCCGTTGGGCAAGAGATTGTGCCCTTTTTTTTGCTCCTGACATGCAGATCAGTGTCTGAATGAGAAAGGGTAAATATTTATTGGAGAGCACTGGGAGGTAATGGGTGGACAAGAAGCATGTTAAGTGCTCTGTAGAACCTGGATGGGGTTGAAATGGACCACAAACCTTCTCAGAGGTGTGTTTTAAGGTAAAAAACACACCTGTGGCTGTTATTATAAAACACACAGTCAGTTTGTCCAGATAAGCACTCTGGTGAACAAAAACACAATCATTTACAGGAAAGAGACATTCTTTACTTTGCACAATAATAAATACATTTATCAGAAAGTGGTCTGATTTATTTGGAGGTATTGATGTTTATCTTTCAATTTTACCTGATTAAACCTGCGAGTCGTTGATGTTTTTGAGTGTGGGATTGCTCAGATGACTTTGCTTTGGCTGTGGGATATAAATAAATAAAAAAAACACGAATAATTTGTGTCATATTTACAGATCTGGTGTATGATCATCATTATTTATTCATTTTGAGGTGACCAATTTCAGACATTCCACATGTAGCAAAACACAAAATGTTTCAGTCGAGTCTGTGTTTCAGTAGACAGGTGTTGTGTGTGTGTGTGTGTGTGTGTGTGTGTGTGTGTGTGTGTGTGTGTGTGTGTGTGTGTGTGTGTGTGTGTGTGTGTGTGTGTGTGTGTGTGTGTGTGCCACTGGGAGAAGTATTGCTGCAGTGACAGAATAAAGTAGGGCACGATGAACCACCGCTAACAGGACAGCTGCATTGCAGACGGCCCTGGGTTGAGTGGGAGTTAGTAATGGAGGCCTGCATGGCAGCACCATTACTGTAGATCCCTCCGCCATTCACACCCCGCTGTCTGACTGGCCCATTCACAGAACCAGTAAAGGAGGAGCTGACTGTCTCAGGGAAAAACACAGCCCACCCTATTACCCTCCTTGCATTAACTCCTTGTTCGCCACTTCTTCCACTGTCTTTTTGTGTCTATTTTTAGGATTTCTCATGTTTAGCTGGATTTGGGCTTTTGCTTTCTCTGATGCATCTACTGTTTACTTGTTGGGATAAAATATGGCTGAAACAGAAAGGAGCTCCCCGGTGAGCCGTCTGTGTGCTGTTTTGTGTGGGCCAATCACATGTGATCAGCTGCCACGATAAGGAACTAACTGGCCCAGAAGCCTGCGTGAGGGCGAGCTTCAGCACCACACCGACAGGACAGCAACTGTTGCGCAGAGCGCGCGCTGTGCAGATCCACGTGGGTTGGCAAGAAGATATCCAGCTTTTTGGTGTAAATCTAACCCGGAGTAGAGTGGTGTGCAGTGATCCAGTCCCGTTCAGATAATTATTAGAGATGTGTTACATCTCTTAATGGCTCCCGAGCACGAACGTGACACCCTCTCGTTGTTGATGAACTAGAACAGGCTGCTGGCATCAGGCTACGTGCCTTATGTGTCAATACAGAGTCTGCAGCGGTGTTCCGTTCAGCCGCGCGAGTTTGTCCTCCCATAGAAGACTAACTGTGCTATGATGTGCTAATGGCACAGCTGCCTGCCTGCCTTGATTTGTCATAATGCAGAGTGGGGGAAGGGGCGCTTTTCTCTGCAGCACTGCAGGTACGGAGCCATGGGCAGGACAGAGAAGCTGTCGGAGCTGCAGAGCTCTCTAAACACCATCGCCCCAATAAGTCTCTGATCCCAGCGGGGAGAGATGAGGGGGTGTCCGCAGGGGAGCGAGCGGGACCACAGCCCAGCAGAGCGCTGGCCGTCGTTGGCGTGACTGACTGAGCTACACCGGCGTGACAAACCACGCACACACAGCCTACACAATGCAGGCGCGGAGGAGTGGGCGTGTTTGTATAAACACGGTCAACTCCCGCAAAAAGAACTAGTTTCAAATGGCGGGTGAGCTGGTGGGGGGGCTGCTCCTCACGCGTCCACTGACTTTCTCCTGAAACTGAAACATAACACGCGTCTGTCGGAATGATCCTTTTACAAATGCAATGTTAACGTAAGATAAGTAACAGAAGCGAGCTTCCACGCGCACGGCCGCGGCTCGCTCGCGCAGGGGGCGGCAAATGGGAATTAGGGCGTCTGTTTACCGGCTGCACGTGCGCACGACGTTTTGTAGCGGCGCTGTTTGTCGTTTTACTGCAGGCTGGGGTCGCAGTGGCTACTAGAAACACTTGGAAAGTGTGTGCGTGTGTGCGAGGTGAAACAAGTGGAGAGGAGGAGGGGAGGAGGAAGAGAATGAGCGGTCTTCCTCCCTCATTCCGCACGCTGCTTCTCTCTTCCTTCACTTTGTTCCATTGTTGACGAGAGCTCTGTTGAGCTTACCAGTCTTCAACACGGATCTCCATGTTTGTGTCTTTTATTTTTCGTCATCTTTATTTTCCTAAACCGAGGAAGCAGCCCGAGCGGCAGGCTGTCGGGGCAAACTCAGACTTTGGGAGAGATGCAGCCCTGATTTGGACTTCTGAGGGTCAGGATGCCAGTGAATGACACCTGCATTTCCAAACAGACAAAGGGGCCGAGCGTTTGGCTTTGAGCTGGACTCCATGGAAAATAAAATAGAAGGTTAGAAGGGTTGTCTTGTGATTGTGCTGTCTATTAAAATAGATTATGTCTTTATTTGCCAAAAAGTTTCTTTGCTCATGTGGAGGTTTTGTGTCTGACTGTGTTCCAGCGGAGTCGGTGCTGAGCTGTGTTTGCCACACGCTTTTCAGAGGGAACATGTGACTCTGCCACATTGCAGAGTGCAGAGAGTAACCAACTCCTGGCTCACGACTTGCGCTGTAAAGCACCCCCGAGAGCATGGTTAGGCTGCTTTTGAATTGCAAGTTAAGCCCTTTAGTTTGATCTTTTAAAATGTATGTCTAATGGAGTCTAAATCAGCTCGATCTGATCCACATGGTCAGAGTGACCCAGGCTGCTGCAGATGCAGCTGTTGATGGAATAGTTGCTTTAGCGCATTGAAGGGTTGTCGCAACCTCATGTCCTGCTGAGGTTATGGAGTCCATGTGTGTAAGCTGGTGAGGAGTAGAGCTGTTGATGCTGCACGGGTCACGGATCAGATTCAGGACTGATCTTCTGGCTGCAACATCCCACTTCCCATTTCAGCACCACACATCTGTGAACAGCGACTCACACTTAGCCACACTTAGTGAAGTTTTCCAGACAACTTTTTCTACCTGTTGCTCCCCTCCAAAGCTGTCCTGTTGTTAGAGAACTGAAGGCTTTCCCCAAACTTTCCCTCTGAAAGCTGAAAGGACATTGTTGCTGGTCTTGCACAAACCTATAATGCAAAACGTTTGTTGAAGGGATCGAAAGTGATTTAACTTTGCCTTTATAAAGAGCACAGACACTTTGCAGGTGTTGCTCTCCAGCTGAAGTATAGTTGGCAGGCGTTTAGTACTTTTTAGTTTCATCGAGTCTTGTTAAAACTGTGTAATGCTGTGTGAGTGACTGATACAGCAGCATTGCTAATTTATTCACCAGCCCTAGTTTTACTTGTATTGATAAAAGCGGTAGCAGAAGTTTTAGGTCTGCTAACAGCAGCAGCGCTGTGGAAAGCTCACTTCTTGAGATGATAGACCGGTACCAGAAGAGCAGAAACATCAAACTTTGAGTTGTCGTCGAAGCTTAAATGAATCAGCTTTTTGTTGCTTGCTTCATTTACCAGAAGTTACAGTCTCCTCACTTCCATTGAAGCTTTACTTATTCAGCTCTATAATTATTTTGAACGTTTGCAGTTTCATCAAAGCCAATTTAAAAGTAATGCAGTAGATTGCAGTTAAGTGAGATTTATGTGGATGAATGATTTAAGACTTGTCAGTACTGTGAAATATAAATTATGCAATCTGCATCTGTGGTTAGAATTTCCGGTTTCTCCTTAGTTTGAGCTGAATGGACCTTGTCTCTGTTTTGTTTTGTACTTGTGAGTCTCTGCTTTTGAACACGTGCAAACTGATCACCTTTAGATGAGGAAGTTAACAAGCCTCTTGCAGCTATTTAACTGTGATTTGTTTAAAAATCACATAATTCACTATTATATATATATTTTTCTTTTTTTGGTGGCTCTCTCATCTGTCTAGTGGCAAATGCAGATCAAGGTCTCTGAAAGTAGACCAAATGACTTGGAAAACGATTCAGAGGGAAGACAGAACAG